AGCAAACCTGATATTTTTTTCTTTTTAAGGTCTAGAATTTTCAGCTTTAAGTAACAGATTGTGCAGAAGTTTGTATGGATTCCCTATAGAGATGGGAAAGGACACAAAGCAACCATTTTATCAGTCCCGGGCTTTCACACACAGTAGTACAATCAGGGTTTAAGTTTATGCTTCACAGACCTCCTCTGTTCATGGTCATGTTTACTGTGACTTTTCTGCCATTACTGGTGAAGCAAGAAGCACACAGAATAAAGAATCTGCATCCTATGTGAAATGAGAAGCAGGAACCTCTAGGTTTTTCATATTATAGATAAATGCTTCACTAGTCCCAGGGCTAAGACAGACATTAGGATCTCCTGGGTAAGTCTTAGGGGTGCTGTGGGAGAGATGATCACAAGGTTGACATTCTGGGTTTGCTCACTCCTTTAAAGCACTGCCAATGTAGTACCAGTGATTCTATGCTTGAAGGAAACAATATATACAATTTCTGCATAATATAATAATTTCAGCTTTATTTCTAAAGGCAAAAAATTGAGATAACTAAGTGTCTAAGAATAAAGTGGTTAGTGATTAAACAACCCATGATATATTCACTTGATAGAATGCTAAGCAGTCATTTAAAATGTTTACTGAGACATGGAATAATATGGGAAAATGTAATAACATGGAAAATGCTTCTGAGTACATTTTAAAGTAAAAAACAGGATAAAATTCAGTTTAAGCTCAGGGCTCAGAGCTTTTTCTAACGGGGTGTGTGTGGACCCTTCCTAGTCCTCCCTGTCTCTTAGAATAGCCAATAAAAAGCCTGCATTTAGGTGGTGGGATTGTGACATCATCAATGATCCAGCCAATCTCCCTAAGGAATATTTGCTTAGCTTACTCCTCCTAATACACATAAAACAGAACTCAATTTGGGTTAAGGAGTGCAACGGGTGGAAGTGGTACTGTGGAACAAAAAGGGAGGAGAATTACATTAACCATATAATATTTTAGTGATATTGGTCTTAAATTAGAGTGATCAAAATTATTATATCTAATCCCTCTAGACCATCTTTCTAAGCAGTCTACTCAGTATATTAATCTTAAAATAGCTCTCTGACAACTACTTACCCATTTGATGTTTAAATTTTTTTTTTTTGCAGTTTTTGACTGGGGTTGGGGCTTGAACCCACCCACCCACCCCCAGTATATGGAGCCGGCACCCTACTCCTTGAGCCACAGGTGCCACCCTGATGTTTAATTTTTTTAAAAAGTATTTCTACAGAGTAGGAAACAAATTTATTGAAAGATCTACAAGTCTCTTACTGTTGGCAAAAAGAGATGCCTTTTCTTTCTCAGAACTAACTGCTTTTACAAAAAGAAAAAACAAAACAAAACCCTACTTTACACTTTGTTGATCTTGGCATCTTATAATGAAAGCTTCATCAGTTTATTGAACTAAATGAAATGGATGTTGATAAGGGAGCACATTCCATAATCCTGCTCTTTATCCTCCTTGTTTATATATTTCCCAGCTTAGCAAATTTTATACTAGCAGGAGTGCTCCCTTTCATTAATTTAACTAGGATTTCTGTTCATGAAAAGCATAAAGCTTAGGGGGATCATTCTTCCTTTCTCATATAGCATACAGGGGGCTTGGACAAGTTTATTATTTTTTTACCAAGCACATATCATGGGGTAAACATTTTCACCTGCATTACCTAGTTTCATCTCCAGAATACCATGTGAGGATGGATATTAGCCTGTCTACTTACAGATGAAAAAACCAAAGGTGAAAGAGGTTAAGGTATTTTGTTGCCTGCAAACTCACAGGAAGCAACAGAATCACAATTCTTTTTTTTTTTTTT